CCTTTCCTTCAGAAAGGAGAACTCAGCTCAAACTTCTTTGCAGCCCACACAGGTTGTTTAGTCAGCTTCCAACACAGCTAATAGCTCTTTTCTCCACAAAATGCATTTTGCATGATACTGTGCACAGAGGGGAAAGCTCATCCCTGCAGCTGGAGTGAGCTGTCAGGAAATTTTCTGTCAGGAAATTGAGGCACAGAGATTTGCCCCAGCAATGCAAAATTGATTCTCCTGAGATAGAGGAGAGACATGAAAAGCAACAGAACAGCTTGGGGCATGGGTGGGAATCCATGAATCTCATCCAGTCTTAGGCTGGTGCTGATGCTGAGAGTTTGGCTGATGCCCAGGTGCACACCTAGGAATGGATTTTCCTTCCTTGGACCATTTTGGCTAGGAGATAAAGCCACAAGAGCAGTCACGTCTCATAACAGGGGCTTCCTTCTGCAACAGTGTTCTTCAGAGAAGACTGAAGGAACAATAAGAGTAGGACAAGCCAATCAGATACATCTTTTTAATACTCACTCCCATGCCACAATTAGTTTCAGTGCAGGGGGCTTGATGGAGCTTAGTGGGGTCTATGCAACATCCCTCAATATGTTCCCCCCACAAGTCCAGGCACTCATTGAATCTGACAGTTTTCTTGAACTGGTTTTATCTTTTCCCAATACTATAGATTTGAACTCCAACGGAAAATTCACACCAGCACGATATTATTGACATTTGCCTCTGCTGCACAGATTGGGAAGGCAGAGACCTAACCTCAACTCAACCCCAAGAGACCATTGCTGGACAAGCTGAGGTCAATGTTGGGAGGGAACCATTCCAGATGGAAAATACACACATAGAATCACAGAATCCTAGGGGCTGGAAGGGACTTCGAAAGATCACCCAGTCCAACCCCTCTGCCAGAGCAGGGTCACCCAGAGCACATCACACAGGAACATGTCCAGGTGGGTTTTAAATGTCTTCAGTGAAGGAGACTCCACAGCCTCTCTGGGCAGCCTGTTCCAGTGCTCTGTCACTCTCACAGTAAAGAAGTTCTTCCTGATATTCACATGGAACCTCCTATGCTCCAGTTTGCATCCATTGCCCCTTGCCCTATCACTGCTCATCACTGAAAAAAAGGTTGGCTCCATCGTCCTGACACTCACCCTTTACATATTTGTAAACATTGATGAGGTCACCCCTCAGTCTCCTTTTCTCCAAGCTAAAGAGACTTAGCTCCCTCAGCCCTTCCTCATCAGGGAGATGTTCCACTCCCTTCAGCATCTCTGTGGCTCTGTGCTGGACTCTTTCAAGCAGTTCCCTGTCCTTCTGGAACTGAGGGGCCCAGAACTGGACACAATATTCCAGATGCGGCCTCACCAATGCAGAATAGTGGGGGAGGAGAACCTCTCTTGACCTACTAACCACACCCTTTCTAATGCACCCCAGGATGCCATTGGCCTTCTTGTCCACAAGGGCACATTGCTGGCTCATGCTCATCCTCCTGTCCACCAGGACCCCCAGGTCCCTTTCTCCTACCCTGCTCTCCAGCAGGTCAGCCCCCAACCTGTACTGGTACATGGGGTTGTTCTTCCCCAGATGCAAGACTCTACACTTGCCCTTGTTGAATTTCATTAAGTTTCTTCCCACCCAACTCTCCAGCCTGTCTAAGTCTCTCTGAATGGCAGCACAGCCTTCTGGTGTGTCAGCTACTCCTCCCAGTTTAGTGTCATCAGCAAACTTGCTGAGGGTACATTCTGTTTCCTCATCCAGATCGTTGATGAAGATATTGAACAACACCAGTCCCAGTACGGACCCCTGAGGGACTCCACTAGTCACAGACCTTCAACTAGATTCTGTCCCATTGACTACAGCTCTCTGACATCTTCCTTTCAACCAGTTCTTGATCCATCTCATTACCTGACCACCAAGCCCATACTTTATCAGCTTATCTACAAGGATGCATCCCCTTTTTCTGTGTGATGCTGTATGCTGTGGGCACCAATGTGGGCCCAGTGGAGAGAGATAGGTGATGCTGTCCTGCAGCTTGGCATTCCACACATGGAAAAGCTCCTGGAAGTTTTCCACAGACAGCACAGAGGAGGACCTCCATGAATCTACACAAGGTTTGGTTTTATCCAGCAACAGAAGCATGTGAGAGGCCTGGGTCAGCAATTCCTCTCTTGCTTCAATCCTTGCCAGCCTTAAAGACACATCTCACTAAAGACTGCAAGGCCCACCAAGACTGCCAGGGAAAAAAAAACCCAAAACAAACCCGAAGAAATCACAAACCCCAAACCAACAACAACAACAACACCACAAAAAAACCAACCTCAACAGGATTACATAATTCTTTGCCTTTCACAGGTTCCAAGAAAGACTGAGTTGCTGCTTGCAGGTTCCCATCTTCTCTTCCCTCTGCTGGCTCAAAGCAGCCTCGGAACTGCACTGTGGTGACTAGAGAAAATCCCTTTAATTGCTGCTCCAGGCAGATTTCCTGAACGCCAACACTGCTGACCCAGGGAAGCTCTCTAGAGAGCCAGGTAGGCTGGTGCTTATCCCAAATGACTCATGATTGGCAATTAAACCAGAGACAATACTGGTCTTGATCCCCTCCTCTCTCCCCCCGGTAGGGAAGGAGAAAATGAAGGAGAGATACTTTCAGGATTGAAAACAATCACTTTATTCTATAAAAGCCTGGTTCCTGGACCTTCTCCTCTCTAGTGGAAACACCTGCTCGAGTGGTTACTTCTCAAGAGGTTGAGAGAAAGGGACATCCTGCCTCATCCAGAGGAAGGGTAAGAAATATCATACCCCTAATATTAATTCTTATTCATATCTTCATTAGCTAGCTTTAAATGCTAAAGAAAGTTTTAACTTTTCAGCTTTTAAACGTTGGAATATAAGACTTCAGGATACTTTTAAATATAAGAGGGAAGATTATAATCATTGCCTTACCACCTTGCTTCAAGGTATTAATAATTGTTCTAGATCTAGTATAAAGCCTATTAATGAGTAAGTTGCTAGTACTAAAACAGGCTTTGTGTAACTGTCCTGGTTTGAGCCAGGATGAAGCCAATTTTTCTTTTACTGATTTTTATTTTATTTTGTTATATTTTATTTTTTTTCTTTAGAGAGCTTTCCTTTAACTAGCAACAAGTTTTCCAGCTCGTGGACTGATAACGCTAGAATGTTTATGTTGCTGCTGGAACTTCACAGTCACTTCACTCTACTTGTTGAAACTGCGGCCTCCGATGCTACAGGGAGCAGAAGAGTTGTGTCTATAACTTTTCCACAGGGAGGAGTGGACTAGACAGACAGCAAAATTGACCAAAGTATTCCATTCCATATATCTATGTAAGCTCGGTGTAAGGTCAGGGATCACGGAAGTCAAATTCCTTCCCATTTCTTCTTTCTCTTCCATCTGTGGCCATGGGAGGACTGGGGAGGTCTCCATCTATTTACCACCATCGACCCCTTGGCTCGTGCATCCCGTGCATCATCATTCTGCTATCAGCTCGTGTCTGCTCTGCCACTCTCTCCTGCAATGCTCCAGGACATTTTGGAACTGCTCACAGCTCAGGAGATGCCGTGGGAGTTGCTGGAGGTGGGGGGAGGCAAGAGGCTTTTGCACATTCCTGAACATATTTCTATATATTTGTACATATTTTCTTTTATCATTAGTATTTAATTAAAGCTGTCTAGTTTAGTTTTCAATCTGGAAAGTCTCTCTCTTTACTCTCTCTCTTTTCTCTACCTGTGTGTGGGGGGACGGGATAAAGAGCATTATTGTTGCTGGTTTAATTGCCTATCCTGAGTCAAACCACGACAGTTAACCAGTTATTCGGTTATTTGGATATTCTGTTGTTAAGGTGCCTTATTGTTTTGTTACACTGATATCCCAACATTCAGGTAAACCCATTTGTGTCTTTTAGTCCAACTTTTAGGATCTTAAACTATTTACAATAAATCTTGGGTTTATGCATATACATCTTGTCTTTTATCTTATCCCACAGTGAACACATGATGATTTTTTCTGGCCATATAGTACCCAGCTGGACATTAAGTCTGCATCCTTGAGTGGAGAAAGCCTGCTTTAAGCCCATTCACATCCACCTTGTCTACAGGTACTTTGCAGATGGAGGTAGGACCAGGGACAGACAAGGTTTCCCAGGGACTGGCTGGAGCCAGGACTAGGGACTCTCCTCCTGAATGCTTCTTCCTAGCTTTCAAGCTTTTCAGGTCTTCAACACTGTATCTCTCCTTAGCATATTTCAAGCTTAAGGTATAAACATAACTTTCTGAGTCCTCAAAAAGGATCTTTACAACTAGTCTCTCATTCAAGTATTCACTGAATATTTTGTCAACACCAAAGGTTCTGTGCTTGGGGTTGAGAAGCATATGGACAACAATCCCTTGGCTTAAAAGCTAGGTACTGTGAAGATTGTTTGAAAGTTTTGGTAAGTTAAGTTCCCTTTTTCATGCTGATATTGTACTTGAAATAACTCCTTGAGTGTGCTAGTTTTGAGTGGAATAGAGTTACATTTCTTCAGAGTAGTCTGTTTGGGGCTGCATTTTGGATTTGTGCTGAAAACAGTGTTGATAATACAGAGATGTTTTAGCTGTTGCTGAGCAGTGCTAACACAAAGGCCTTTTCATTTTTTTCACACAGCCCCCACACATCTGTAGGCTTGAGGTGCAGAAGAAGTTAGGAGCTGGCACAGCTGGGACACCTGACTCCAACTGACCAGAAGAATGTTGTGTATCTGAGCTTGTTTATAAATTATCTAAACAAGAACCCCCTTTTTTTCTTTTTTCTTTTAAGGAAAAAAATAACAGCAGTATGTCAGATAAGTCTTTTTGTTCTAATATCACTCATGGCTTTCACAGTTATGTTAGAGGTGTCAAAATGCCCTACAACGAAGAAAGCTCCTACCCACTGTAAGGGGCGATGCCCAATCCCTCAGCAGGACTGAGCTGCCTTTCTACCCCCGCCTGGGGCTGTCCCCCTGCCCCACACGCCTGCGCGGCCGCAGCCCCGGCTCGTCTCCCCGTGTCTCCCAGGGCGCAGTAATACACCGCCGCGTCCCCGAGCCGGGGCTGGGCGAGCCACAGGGCACTGGACCGCCGGTCTGCCGCCACCGACTGCCGGCCCAGCGGCTCCGACACATCTTTGGACCCTTTGAGACCGCTCACGAGTCGTTCGGGTCCTCGACCTGGGAGCTGACGGTACCAGTAGATGAACTCGCTGGTTTGGATGTTGGGGTGTGAGCAGTTGATGCTGACGCCGGTGCCCTCAGTGGTCTCTGCCGACGGCTCCTGCTGCACCTGGGCTCTGCCCGCAGCCACTGCCGAGGAGAAAAGGAAGAAAATAGCCTCAAAACCTGTTTTTTTGCCCAGCCCTGCCTTCTGCTTCCCAGAACAAATCCCTCAGAAGCAGGCAGGAGCATAGAGGATGATAAGGAGAAGAGTTCCCAGACAATGTCAGTATCGTACAGAAAGACACAGAGGAAAGAACAGAAATAGGAAGACTTGGATGAAGAACAGACTGATGAGTTTGCTGAGGGAAGGTGGAGGGAGAGCAGAGACAGGGATGGACAGGGGGACAGTTCAGGGCAAAGAAGTCTGTGAAGAAGCCAGAGGTCATAGTAGATTTGAGGGGAATGCCATCCCAGGCTGAGCCCTCATCCTGGCCCCATGCAGGTGGGCACCACCTCCTTGGCCACATTCCATGCCAATGGTAGGGCAAGTAGCTCTGATAACCACAGTTCAGCATATTTTCCAATTTTCAGATGGCGTTTTCTCATGAGTCTGCGAAACTTTTCCCAACTTACAGGGCAAACCAGACCACGTACCCACATCTGAACAGCAACACAATCCAATACACCACCCTGCCTTTATTGGCCTTCAAACCTTATAAGGTACTAGAACAGCTGAACTTCTGTTGGCAGATTGAGGAAAGAAACCTGATTTCTCTAAGAGTTCACCTTATAAGAAAGACTCAAATTATATGGTTCAGTTGTCTCAACTGGACTGGTTTGACCTCATGCTAATGACACATGCAGTTCCACAAATTATGCAGTGAAACAATGAGGTAAATGAGAAGGGGTGGGTAGACTGTGAGCACTGTAGCCTGATGTGATGACAGTGCCATCTGGACCTCCTGAAGATCCTAATCAGACATTAACTTCACAAAGAAATGTAAGTCTCAGAAAGGACTTGGATGCAACAGTTTTTAGCTGTTGGTGTATATGAGCTTAATTTCTTAGAAACATATTGTTGAATAAAATTACTACTTTTTTAGCCTTGCAAGACAGAATACTTCATAGTAAGTTAAGATTTTAAGTTGGGGTAAGTGGGTGTAGTGTCAACACACTTAACACCAAGGGACTATCACCACAAAGTCTTCCACCATGATACAAGGTGCCTATTCTGTTCTTTGAGTCTATACCAAATACTCCCAGCAATGGAAATAAATACATTTCCAAAGGAGACAACACAATGCTAAAATCATAGAATGTTAGAATCATAGAATGGCTTGGGTTGGAAGCGATGCTCTGGATCCTTATCTCAGCCATGGTGTCCTCATAGATGGTTTGGGTCTCTGTCTAAACCACCATGTTCAATCATGGTATTCTCAGAGGTGGTTTGAGACTCTGTCTTAATCACGGTCCTGTGGTAGAACTCAACTGTGGCTCCAAAGGTACAGGCCAAGCCCCAACACAATGCTAAAAGCTAGTGGTTTCCACTGAAGTAGGCAAGGCAGCCTTCTAGCACGTGGTAAATTGATTTACCAGGATTGGTACCCTGTTCAAGTGTAAAATCCCACGTTATGAAAGGTGGTAAATACCCTAGGCACTTCCCAAACCCTTCCACAATCACTACCACCCAGGGACTGGCCACCTCAGGGCACATTTCATTGTTGCCTCACCCAAAATTTGTCTCCTATTACACCAGAATGACAGCATATTCCACAAACCCTGCAATAGGCCAACAGGGCTAATTAATAGCATGAAACAGCTCAGGTTAGGGTGGATAAGGGCCTCAGAAGTCTGTGCCAACCCACATCAGTCACAGATGGGAAGAAAATTACCTCCTCTTCTCCACAAGAAGGCTCCCCCATCACAGTCAGGGCCTCAAGGCCAGGGCAATGCACACAGCCTTTACCTCTTTCAAAATGCTCCCAAACTCAGCCAAATATGGAGATAAGCTCTGCAGCAAACAAACTTCCTGACTCATGCACCAGCCTGCCAAGTATTAACTACTACAGCTATAGCATGCTTAATGCAAAACTGCCATTGTCTCCAGTCCTACTTTGAACACCAAACAGACTGTGGTGAGGTGACCTTGTCTGGCTACCAGGTGCTCACCAAGCTGCTCTCTCAGCACCCTTTCTCACTGGGACAAGGGGAGAAAATAAGCTGCTAAACTCGTGCATCAGCATGAAGACTGTTAAATGAAGAAAGTGAAAGGCCATACACAGAAGTAAAAGGATTTATTCTCTACTTCCCATCAGCAGGTGATGTTCAGTCAAACCTGGGAAGCATAGCTAGAGTTTGTGTACCACTTGCTTCAGAAGAAAAACACATGAATAACAAATGAGACACACGCGCCCCTCCCCCACCCCCTCTCGGTGCACCCCTGCCTCCTTTCTTTCTCTTGTGTTTTATTGCTGAGCATGACATCATATATTATGGAATACCCTTTTGGTCAGCCTGCATCTGCTGTTCTGGCTATGTCTCCTCCCAACATCTTGCCCACCTCCAGCCTACCGACCTTTGGGAGAAGGAGTTGGAGAGACAGCCTTGCTGCTCAGCACTAGTCAAAACGTTTGTGTGTTTCCAGCACCATTCTAGCTAAAATACAAACTACAGCACTATGAGTGCTAACATGGGGCAAGTTAACTCCATCTCAGAGAGACCCAGTGTGCTCATATGTGAGTAAATATTTGTGTAGGCATGTTGTGTGTGTTTTCTCCTGTATATGTGTGAGATCTAGACACCTGTGTATGTACACATGCTTGTAACAATACACACGTGTATCCAAGTAACCATGCATGTATGTGCATACTTTATGTGTGCACATGAGCATGTTTTTACATGAATCACTGCATATGTGGTTGTGAAATTCCTTCTGTTTGTGACACCAGTAGGTGAGATCACAATGAAAACAAGTGGTTCAACTGAAACCTTCAGAACCTGCTGCTCTGTAGTGCTCATGGACAGGACAGTAAAGAGTGCCACAAGCAGCACATTCTCTCTCGAAGAGGGACACACAAGAACCCATAAATACATATGATCATGCAGATCTGCATGGTGTCATGCACAACTTTGCATGCCCACATGCATTCACAGAGATCCACATGTAGAAAAATCCACAAAAGCAAGTACACATGCATCTGCACAAGTTAAATGTCGACTTAAGTGAAGAGATGCTGGATTCCACCCCAACAGGAAAGGTCTGGAGCACCTCAGGGTAGAATAAAGCTCCAGACACATCAATACTGCATGCTGAGAACTTCGTTTGGGCAGGAGACCAAACATGCTGGGGAAATTCTTAAATACCAGCAACACCATCCAGTCACCTGAGGAAGCAAAAACAAATGCCTGTCTAGCAAGCTGGGAGGGAGCAGGCTGGAAGGGAGGGATGGAGGAAGAGAGACGGGTGTAACACGCTCTGACACACAGAAGCTTTTGAGTGTCTGGTTGAGGACCACATGGATGCGAGTAGCTAGGCCCAGGCCAACATCACCTTCTTAAGTGGGATGTTTCTAGCACTTGGTCCACATCTTCTGCCTGTATGAACACTTTCCGGTCCTTGAAATACTTGTATCTGTCATTCTAGGACACCATGGGGGCTGTGGCTTCTCCAGCTTCTGCATCCTCCTAAACCTGCTAGTGAAGGCCCTGGCATACAGTGACCTTTCACTACTAAGGTAGTGTGTGACATGCTGAGTAGGTGCCTTTCAGCACCTGCACCTTGGAGCTAAGGAAGGTTTGTCCAGAGGCAGTGGCCATGAAACTCTGCTTTTCTTCATGTCTTCTGAGAACCATCCTCACAACCTCAGAACACCTCCTGTAGATGTGGGTCATGACCAGTGCTGGAATCTGGTGAGGACCCTGGGGCCTGCAGGAGGCACTTAGAGGGCAGCATCACCACAGGCTCCTGAGGAAGGATGTTCCTCTTGCTCCACATCAAGTTGTGCTGGGGAGGTGGCTTGTACAAAATATTATCTTTAAGGTTGCCACATTCCCCTGTATAGTATGAGAGGAAAGAGAGAGCATCATTGCATTGCAGGAAAAGAGAGTGGGTTGTTGCTTACATGTCCCAAGGGCAGCCAGAATTTTTCCAAATTATTGTTTTCACCAGCAGAAGAAATTAGAGGATGCAATCTACCTGAGGAAGGGGAGGTCCTGAACTGCTTGCAGGAAATTGTTGGGCATGCGGACATGTATCCACTCGAAGTCCTGCTCAAGGCTCCCTACAGCAGGGATGAAACCTGTGCTCTGACCCAGCACACCTTTCAACCCGTCACAAACAAAACTGAAAGGTGGAGAAAGGAAAAGCTGTTGAGAGGAGAGGTAATTATGTTAAGACAGACATTAAATGACACGCTAATAATACTGAGAACTAATTTCCACCTGTTAATTAGAGATTTTTTTTTTACATGTTGAAGAGAGTGCATTTGTCTCTAATTAATTCTGGAAGAAACTTCATCAGCTCAGCTTCATTTCTACTTACATCAGCATTTGCAGCCTGTGACAACTTTTACTTGTCACAGACTGACAACCCACTGCTACAGCCTAACTTCCTGCACAAGAGCTCTGGCTAGTTCCAGACACCTACTTCTTTCTTTAAGGAGCTCAGTGTCACCAGGGAGCTGCAAGGTTTCATGTATTCTTTTTATTATTATTATTTTATAAAAGCTTGAGAAACACTTAAATCTTTGTCAAGAAGGGCTCTTTTACATGTCTTAAGTTTTTTTCCTTACGTGCAGATATGCATGTGGTCATAAAAACATAGAATGGTTAAGGTTGGAAGGAACCTTAAAGATCATCAGGATCCAACCTTCCTGCAGGGACACCTCAGACTAGACCAGGCTGCACAAGGCCTCATCCAACCTGACCTTGAAAAGCCCTTTGATCATCATTGTGACAATGCATGGAACTCTTTACAACAGGTCTATGTCTTTCCTGTGATGAGGCCTCCAGAGCTGTATGCAGTACTCTAGGTGTGGTCTCACCAGAGCAGAGGGGCAGAATCACCCCTCTCACCCTGCTGGCCATGCTTCTTTTGATGCAGCCCAGGACCTGGTTGGCCCTCTGGGCTCCAGTCCGCATTGGCAGCT